CACACACACACACACACACACACACACACACACACACACACACACACACACACACACACACACACAGCCCTCTGCTCTCTCATGACGTGTCCCCTGAGTGTCTGGATAATAGATAATAGAGCTGGCGACCTGCGGGGGTCTTACAAAAACGGCGCTCATTGAGTGTGAGCGTCGCACAAGAGGAGAGGAGCCACATCACACACAGACAGCAAAGCAAACCGGCCTCTCATATCATCATTCAGCCGCCGCGGAAACAAGAGCAACTCGGAGGACTTCTCAACTTTTACGCACGGAAATTTGACATTTACGCACGACTTCAAAAGCATAATTTGACGAAGACACGGACAAAACCAACTTATTTACGGACGTGAGAGACTCTCGAGGATCTTACCTGAGCGGCGGGCCTTTGGGTTTCACTATTAATCGATAAAGCAGGTAATATAATCTGATGGCTCAAAGCTTTGGAGCAGATCAGTCAGATGGAGACTGATATGAAGACTGGCAAGTGAACTCGTAAAACAAAAACAACAAAAAAACGTTAAAAAAAAAACTTTAAAAGCATTTTTGTTCAAGAATTTAAACTTCAAGAAAAGAGTAACCAGCTATGCCTCGTCCAGGGAAAAACTCTTACAGCGACCAGAAGCCTCCTTACTCCTACATATCACTCACAGCGATGGCTATTCAGAACTCGGCTGAAAAGATGCTGCCTCTGAGTGACATTTATAAGTTCATCATGGATCGCTTTCCATATTATCGAGAGAATACCCAGAGATGGCAGAATTCCCTGCGACACAACCTCTCATTTAACGACTGCTTCATCAAGATACCCCGTCGGCCTGATCAGCCGGGGAAAGGCAGCTTCTGGGCTCTTCATCCGGACTGCGGTGACATGTTTGAGAACGGCAGCTTCCTGAGGAGACGGAAGCGCTTCAAGGTGCTGCGTGCCGAGCATATGACCTGCAAGAGTTCCCCCATGATGCACTATTTCCACCATCACCACCATCACCCTGGCAGCAAATTGGGCACTGCATCCAGCCACCACGACCACTCAGCCGCCCCTCCAAACGTGGGTCGCCTTCCTCACTTTCAGGGTTACGGGGGCATCACTTGCGCACAGCCCGGTGGGTTTAAACACCCATTTGCCATAGAGAACATTATAGGAAGGGACTACAAGGGTGTGATGGCCAGTGGGCTTCCCCTTACCTCGGTTATGCACCATCTGGGTTACCCGGTGCCCCCTCAGCTCAGCAGCATGGTCAATTCTATGTGGCCGCACGTCGGCATGCTCTCAGAGTCTATGGGTGGCGTATCCGTGCCAGCATCATCCGAGTACGCACCATTCAGCGTGTCAGCCAAGGGCCTGTACCACAACGCCAACGGGCAAACCCTGCCAGCCGTTCCAGTGCCAATAAAACCCACCCCGTCCCTGGGCCCCGTGCCGGGTTTGACGGGTCTGCAGTCCGGCCCGGCCCAGATCTGCTCGCCGTCCTCACTGATGGAGAAAAGTGATCTGCTAGAGGGAAAAGGGAACCCTCTACACCCGGCCCTCCTGCTGTCCTAACCGGGTAAATTGCAGGCTATTTTTGAAAGAAAAGAAAAAATAAATAAAGCGAGAAAGACATTGAGATTACCCGAAATAAGACTTATCAGAGACGACAAATAGATTACGTGCAGCTGTAAGAGCGTTGTAAAATTAAGTTTAACATTGTGCTGTGTAATGGATTTTTCATTAGACTCATGTTGATTGAAATCATGATTTATTTGCACAATTTGTGAGGGCATTTACCACATACTGTAATGTGGCACTGATAAATACAATCAGACTGGTAGAGATGCTAATCCCAAAGAAAGCTTTGATTTAGGAGACAAACAGTCCGAAATGATTTCAAATGCAAATCAACTGCTCTGTTTTTTGATTTTTGCTGTTATTCTACTTATTTTACTTCAATCATTGGCAGGCCTACCGGCTAAAGACAAGTAGACCTTCGTAATTTTTAATTAGGCCTGTTGCACTTTTTTGTGTATTCTCTAGCAGTGCATTAAAAATGTTATGCTTGTATTATAACACTATTTATCTGAAGATATTTATAAAGAACTTAAAACCAAATCCTTCGTGTTGTAGTTATTTAAATAACTGTTTACATTTGCACATCCTTTCAGGGACGACTGTGTTTGAAAAGCTGAGGAAAAAAATTCCAATAGACTCGGACATTCTTTTACATCAGTGGAAACAGACATTCAGGTCCCGACTTTTATCTATCAATTCCTCAGATGTGTAAATAAAGAAATACGTCTCTACCCTTATTAAATATTTTGATACTCTACAACAAGAAGTAATAACAAAAAGATCACTTCACATGCCACCTGTAGTTCTGTTTAATGCATAATAAATGGTCAGAATAATTAATTTATATTCCAGCTGTTTTTCTTTAAAAACATTATTTTCAATTATTGATTACAACTGATTACAGAAATAATATTAAATATATATTTGGCTCTAACTATGAGATATGGAGTACGAACTGTGAGAGTTAATATTTTTCACTGAACCAACATACGATGACATAAAAGTAATTTTTTACTTTTCTTCACTCTGGAGTCATCCAAGGAAGATCTAAACCCTCTTTGAACATCCAGTTCAAAAACAGAGCTGAATATCATATTACATGGTGTAACTGTTATATTTTAAGAGGATAATTTTAAGAATACTTATTATTCTATTTAAGAACAAAGATAGCAAAAAAAAAAATCTTGCTATCACCTTCCATAATTCATACTTAAGTGCACGCAATTGTCCACATTTGAGCATGTGTACATGTGCTGATGCACGCTGTGTTCAAGTGTGTGTATGATCTTCCAAAAGATGGATATGAGCAGCCAACATTTTGGACAGCAGCTCCACAACTTCAAAAGCAGGATCAAGTTTGCTCTTTTGTTTGCTCTGTTTAAGTCAAGCTTTGAAGCTTCTCCTCAACGGCAGCACAAAGCTCCAGGTTCAGCCCACTAAAAATGACTTATATTTAACCTCCTATCCCCTGTTTAGCATCCCAAAGGCTCTCACAGCCGACACTATTGTCACACCAGCCTCTGAACAAATAATTGAGATGCACCAGTGGAGGAGAGGCGTGGGAGTAAAAAATTAAAACCTATTCGGGTGTCATTGCTAACGAGCAGAATCTCCCTAATAGTGATGACCCTTATCTTTTCCTTTCTCATTCAATCCTTTTTATTTATTGTTATTTTATCACCATCATTTTGTTGTGTTATGCCTGACTTTTATTTATTTTATTTTATTTCTTTAGCATTTCTCTTTAGTTTTTTCTATCATGCCACCTCCTCTTTACTTTCTGTTCCATCTACACACACACATACACACTTTCTCTGCAGGGTGTCTGTAATTTCTAGTTAAAGGGAACTGAGATTTCTACAGCACACCCAAACTGTTTGTGTGAAAAGTGTGCCTGTGCCTGTAGGTGTGTGTGTATGTGTGTGGGTGTGTGGGTGTGTGTATGTGTGTTGCTTTAATTCCCTGATCAGCAGGCCTCAATGTCTTTAATAGTCCTCACTGCATTAGTGCATAATTAAATGCCACTAATTAAGACACAATAAGAGGAGTAATAATGCAGCCATTACTACCCTCCATGATCCTCTGTCTTCACAACACCGGAGTTGGATGCCTCTGGAATCATAATATCACATGAGCTCCCCTAATGTGCACATGTGTTTATGTGGAGGGGTAATAGGTGGTATTTTTGCTGTTCGGTCTTATAAGTAGGAACTGTGCTGGTTGTGTCAAAGCATTTAAAAGAATATGTTAAATGATTTTCAGCCTCAAGAGCAGGTAGTAAAATAGAGAAACAAAATGCTTTGGATGTCAGCTGAGTATGTATACCGGTTATAATTTAGATTACAAACAAAAATCTGTTCTGGCTGTGTGTTTTTGTTTTATATGGTAATAAAAAACATATTTTTGATAGACTTTCTTAGTTTTCTCAAAAGAAGCAAGTGCACTGCAAATATCTCTCCACTCTGCTGTGATGGTTTAGCAGATATAAATTTGAACCTGATGCTTAATGTCAATAAACTGCAGAGTAATTTCATTAAATAAATTTTAAAAATTAATATGGTTTACTTCTTTCTCCAAAATGAAAATGTAATAACCACTGAGTCTCCTGTTTCCCGAGAGCATTAAAGAAATTTGTCTGCTGTGTGCAAATCCACTTACTTCAATTGGAAAAACATAAACTAATTATAAAAGCATAGAAAAATTGTAATTAACGACTCTTCTGCAAATAAAACTACATATGGAAGAGCTGAAACCTGGAGCTTTTTTCTCTTTAGACACTTAAATCAGCACAGGTGCACACTCCAGTGTAACACAGCCATTCCCAAAAGCTGAGGCATAAATAAAAGGCATAAAAGGCAATTAAAGAAGGAAAACAACTTATAAATATGTCCTAAAATACTGATCACTTACGACAAAGACCATATTCATACCCTGTATATTTTTATTATTTTTTTTGGAATTTGATTTAATTTGAACAACACAGTACGACGCTACATGAATTAATTTTAGCACTGATAAAAACATACCTGGAATTAATATGGGCCAACTCTTAACTCGGGACAAATGGTTCGACGTGTGAAATGTGAGTGTAAAAGAATAAAATGAGTCCTGTGAATGAATAAAACATTTAGGTCAGAGGTGGTTCACAGTCAACCCTCTGAAACATAACGTTGCGATCTTGAATAGAAGATGATGCATTAGTGGTAATTACCCGCACTTGATAGGGGCCAGGGTGACAAATTCTACATGCATTTTTCTTAATGATCAGTGAGGACAGGCCATCATGATGAGCAGCTTAATTCATCTGATCTGATGTGCTATTTCTTACTCATGCACACTGGCACACGCGCAAACCTTAAATATTATTCTTTGTTCCAGACAGCAGTCTTTTATTCAATATATCAGAACATCAGATGATTTAGAAATTTGCTCCAATTTCTTTAAACCTATAATTGTCATACAAGGATTCATTGTTCATCCACAGCTTGACTGACCATTAAAAACATCAGCAGAGCCATTCTAACTATAGATGGAGGTATGAAAATACATTACAGCAAACTCCTTGTTAAAAAGGTCTTTTTAATCACAGAGATAGGAAATCACATAAATGTCATGAAGATGTTATTATTAAATGTTAAAATTCAGTGATTTGTTTCGGAGTTTGCAGAAATGGGCTTCAATGATGGGGAAAAAATTGTCTCAAGCCTGCTACGTTTTCTTACTACACTTTTACCTGACGGTAAATGGAAACAAGAAAGAAAGAAAGAACGAAAGAAAGGCTATGAGAGATGTACACTGAACTTGTCAGTGGTAATATTATGACTTCTGATGTAATCTGAAGAGAGCTGTATCTGAAAATGAATCAGCTGCTCCTGGCATTCCCTAAAACCCGACTGAAAACCATTGGCAACCGAGCCTTTCCAGCTATCGTTCCCAAACTGTGGAATGATCTCTCTGCCCATGTTAGGATGGCCTCCTCATTGCCTCATTTTTAAGACATGCTGGTAAACTCATCTTTATTCTAACTCAAAGTGAGGTTGGTGTGCTCTTACTTTCTATTTATTATCAATACTGTTGTTGTTGCTGATTTGTTGTGTGGTGTTTTGTGCCTTCTATAACACTTTGTCCAATTTGTGTGTGCTTTGTAAATAAATTGGTAATGGTAAAATATATGGATTACATATATTCTGTATATGCCACTGAAAGATAGGGGTACAACAATGGGAATGTACAAGGAGTCTTTGGAGGCATTTATTGCACTACTAACATACGCATACAGATCAATCTGGCTGCACAGAGCACTCACACTCACACACACTTGCAATCTTCACAAGAAAGACTACAAAGTGAAGTTTTAACTCTTTCATTACAGAAAAGATTAAATACTGTTACAAAAGAGAAGGAAAAGACTTTCACCTGAAACAAACTCATTGCGTGGCATCTCATCGTATCTCTTATTTCCTCCCCGAAACTGATTTCTGATTTGTGTTGTGAGAGTGAACACATAGGCTTTGTCACAGGAGAGAAGATTATCAAATATCATGACCACCAAGGTTCAACTGGTCGTCATACCAGCTTATCCAATTCAGGGTCGGGAGGGAGGCTGGAGCATATTCCAACTGCTGTAGGGTGAGACATGTTCGTCAGCATATAGACACTACATGAAATAATATTCAACACTTGCAAGAAAGGAAACATACCAGTGATAAGAAAAATGAGATTTCCACACAGAGTAATATATTTGTGAACACATCATACTGTTTATTAAAATATATTCAAATTAAATATACTGAAGTAAAGTAAATTGCAAAGGAGTTCCTTATGGATGACTAAATGAAGTTATTAATTTCATAATTACACTGAAGCTGCTAAACTTGTCTTTTGCATTAACAAATATAAAATTTGGATTCATAAAAAAGTAGATCTGATCTGTCATCATCTAACAACCCAGAGAGCTCTTCTTAAAGCACGAGAAATTATGTCAGGTGTAATTG